CTTTTAATAGAGAAGATTCTGTTTTCTTAAGTAATCAAAGACCTGATAAAGGGAACATGAAGCACAGGGAATTATTTTGACAAAGCACAAAATCTTTGCCCTCAAGACAGATTACTTAAAAAGTAAAGAAAAATCTTCCACAATCTTATCAAGAATAGACCAATAGTCCAAGAAAACTGTCCTTTTAGCAGATGAAAGAAAAATGTTTTTGCTATTGATATTAAACTTTATTTTTTAAAATGCTTACAAAAATGTTATTCTTTTTTAGCTAGCATGACCACACATGAAAAATTCATTCTGTATTTCTTTCTTAAATAACCAGCCATTATACTACTTTCCCTTAAAAAAAAATACATCTCTATAATTCATACTTTTTCTGAGCCCAAAGACATTTTACTTTGCTTGCAGTGTTGTTTCCTTTACGATTTCATTTATTAATTAGAATTTGTAACTATTAGAAATCTTAATTTCTACTAAGCAACTGGGAACTGTTATACCAGTATTCTATACATTGGCAAACCCATTAATGCATTTCATAACCTCTAGAAACATATGTTTTCTCACAGTACAATTTTTTTAATGTGGCACAGATATGTTTACTGAAATCCAAATATGTTTAGTTTCTCTGCTATAAGAAGTCAAAAGTTGGGGATCCCTGGGTGGCGCAGCGGTTTGGCGCCTGCCTTTGGCCCAGGGCGCGATCCTGGAGACCCGGATCGAATCCCACGTCGGGCTCCCGGTGCATGGAGCCTACTTCTCCCTCTGCCTGTGTCTCTGCCTCTCTCTCTGTGTGTGTGTGTGACTATCATAAATAAATAAAAAATTTAAAAAAAAATTTTAAAAAAAGAAGTCAAAAGTTGATAAACCTATGTTAAATAATTAATGTTTCTGTATTTTATCTTACTTGGAAATGACCTAGATATTCAATGACTTTCTATCACTTAGCAAAACTCTGAGGGTATAAATTACCAAAGAGATTTGGGAAATTTTAAGTAGGCATATCATAAAAAAATAATTATTGTTGAAAAGTTCACTTAAAAAATTTTATCTTGCTTGCATTTACTTAATTCACTTTTTTTTTTTAAGATTTTATTTGAGAGTATGTGAGTCGGAGAAGGAGCAGAGGGAGAGAGAGAATCCTAAGCAGACTCCATGCTAAGCATGGAGCCCTACGTGGGGCTTGACCTCACGACCCCAAGATCATGATCTGACCAAAATCAAGAGTCAAACACTCAACTGACTGAGCCATCCAGGTGCCCCCAATTCATTTGTTCTTAATAATCATATTAGATAACTCAAAATTTCATGAGATATTAAAGCAGCTAGCTATCATCTTTAGCTATTTTTCCTGCTGACAAATGTTGTAACAGAGATAAAATGAACTTATTTGACTTTTAGTAAACCTAGATAGAATGCCACTAGCTGTTTTTAAATGCCAATAACTCTAGAGACATTCCTATTTTAATTAAATCAACAAACTTAAACTAGCCTTTATTTAAGAGGTTATCCTAGATGACATGAACTTGAAAGCACTTGGTTTGATTTATATTTTACTTCTGAGAGTTTAGAAATATTTAGTTTGATAAGTGCTTAGCTTATCTTTCTTTAAGTCTATTAAATAGAGCTTTACTACAAATTAATTTTGGTAATACCATCTGGAGGTAGGAAAAATAGACCATACATTTATAACATATATCAATAAATATACATAAACACACAGGCAGATACAAACTGAGATTTTAGAGCTTTCATTCTAAAATGTTAACCATGAATCAGGTATAATAATATAAAACTCACTAGTTTACAAGTAACAGTTGGACCCAAATTGTGTTTCTGGCAGTTAGAGTAAGTTACATTTACCCACTCATACGACTAAATTTTTTTTACTATTTGTGAAGACTTTTAAGATTTGTATTTGCCCTTGATAAGTAATCTTATGAAAGCTGTAGACTAGAGCTTGAACAAGGGAGATTTCCTAGCATATTCTATATTTTTAAAAGCTTCCCCCTGCACATTTTTTTTTTCTTTCAGTCTCATGTGATTGTGGACTGCATTTTAGTTATCTCCTCTGGTGTTTATATTTCAAAGACATGCTAAGATTTACATCTCAAGGGATAGAAAAAGAATGCAAGTTTTCTCCCAGGAGTTTTGGGGTATGCTTGTCTATTATCTGAAGTCTAAGGTAATTGGTTATTTAAATTTTTCTTTTTTTTAAGTACAGGACAATTGTGCTTCCAAGGTCCTGATTTTTTACATTTGAAAATGTCTGGAGGCAAATAGGAAAGGCTCTCAGTAGACTTTAAGTTATTCTCAGAGTTATGCTTTTGTTTCTTTAAAGATTCAAGTTGCAAATCAAAAATTGTCAATTTCAACTCCTTTTTTTTCTCCTGCATTCCTGATAGCTTTCTTCAAAGAACTGGATAGTTTCTCCCATGATAGTGCTTAGAGGTTGACTAGCCCACCCAATCACACTATTTTGAATTTTCCTTTTCATATCAGGGAGAAATTTTCCTACCAAGGCAGAAACTAAAAGATTTCTGTGTTCCAGAGCTGCAGAGTGCAGTGCAGTATGCCTTTGAAAAATCTGTATAAAGCATTCAACAAAGGCCTTTGGATGCTCTCCTTCTTTCTGAATGTACAATTCAAACTTAGACCAGTTCACCTTAGGGGGGAAAGTTCTATGACTGCTTCTATCAGCCCCTGAACATCAGCCTCCTGCTGTTCCATTTTCTTGATCATTTGTAGGAGGGCCTGAGAGAAATTCTGGTCATGTGTTTCCTCTTTGAGGGGGTTTTCTGCAGGGGGCCACCCGACTTGTCTGTTAACTCCATAAAATTATGGGTGGGAAGAACACCCTAGCAGCTAATCAAGGTCCTTGTGAGTGAGGTTGTAAATGGCTACTCATCTTCCTTTCTTCCTCCCTTCCTCCCTTTCTTTCTTTGTAAGATTTATCTATTCATCTGAAAGAGAGAGAGAGAGGGAGAGAGAGAGAGAGAACACACGTGCATGAGATAGCTGTCAGAGGGAGAGGGTGAGGGAGAGGGGAAACAGACTCCCTGTTGAGCCGGAGCAGATGTGGGACTTGATGCCACAACCCTAAGATCATCATGACCTGAGCCAAAACCAAGAGTCTGACACTCAACCGACTGAGCTACCCAGGCACTCCCTCACCACTGATCTTTCTAATTTCTTTCTAAATTTGGTAGTGTCTTCTGAAAGTGGAGGTAAAAGGGATTTATAGTTTAAAAGATCTGTTGCTGTCCACAGAACATGAATTCTTCAGGTAGGCCTGGAGGATTCTGGATTACATCTGCAAGGGATATTGCTTAGAAAGGCCTAAGACGGGAAAGTGGAAGCAGTCTGAGGGGACAGCAAGACAAGTCTTCTGCTAAAATCACTTCCTGGTACTTCTGCTAAATATACTTCTTGGCTTTCAGCATGTACATGAGTAACCTTATACATTGGGCCCAGAGACTAGGCTGGAATGCTGCATGTAAAATCTTGCAGGGAAAGGGAGGTTAAAACAGGCAGGTAGGTGTTTAAGGGATTTTCTTGGGAAGGTGGAGGACTTTGGGAAGCTAAGGGAATTTGTTGAGAAAATGGAGCTAGACTTTAGAAGGGGAATTTATGTTGAATGTGGATTTTAATTTTTTTCTAAGTCTAATTTCTGTTCTTTCATCTTGTTAAGGAAGTCCCTAAAGCTACCCATTGTGCTCCTTTGTATCCACTTTTTAATTTGATCTTTCCATAGGTACCAATAGGACACCTGTTCAGAATAACAGCTCTCTAAAATTTTTTTTCAAATATATAAGTTTTTCCAATTCAAAGGACCCAACATTGATAAGTAGGATCTCATACTATTCTCAATGGTGACTCAAACCAATAACCCTTTTATGGCACATGAGACATAAGAGGTGTCTCAAAAGAGAGTACAAAAGGTGCAGGGCTCACCAGACCCGGAGAGTTCACTTCCAGAGTTAGCCTAAGAAAGCAAAGACTTATGATCACAGGCAATAAGAATGGTATAATGAAAATGGCATCTCCAGTTTTCCATGAGAACATGAGATGCCTCCAGCTACAGACCTAGGCAGGTGCTAACCAAATGGGACTTTTCCAGCACTGAGACAACAAAGGTTGAGACAATAAAAGTCCTTTATGGGCTGGAACCTCTTATGACCAACTCCCCTAAGAACTTGCATGGCCAGACAAAGAACGAGCTGCTTCTGTGTTTCTCTGAACCCTATTCTATTCAACTGGACACCAAATGCAAGCTGATATGTGCATCTTCTGGCTGGCAGAAACCAGAGAGAATATTCTCACTAGTTATAAAACCAAACTCTCAAGACATAGAAGATGATGAAAGAAAAACTTCATCCAGTTTTTACACGGGGGACCCCACAGAAAAACTTGTCTAAACAGATGCTGGTCTGTGAGAACTATGAACTTACCAGTCTGTGAGGGGGGCTCAAACAACAGGTTTATAGGACCCATGCCTGTGTTGTACTCTACGGTTTTCTTTGTAATGACAAATGACACAAAAGACAGAGACAAAAGAAAACGATAACCATCCTTTCTGGGAGGAAAAGGATCAATAGAAAACAAGAGTACTCCTAACAAATCTGTACCAGAGCGCCTGGGTGGTTCAGTTGGTTAAGTGTCTGCCTTTGGCTCAGGTCATGATCCCAGGGCTCTGGGATTGAGGCCTGCATTGAGCTCCCTCCTCAGTGGAGAGCCTGCTTCTCCCTCTCCCTCTGCTTCTTCCCCCAGCTTGTGCTCTCTATCTCTCTCTTAAAATAAATTTAAAAAATAATAAAATAAAATAATAAATAAAATAAACCTTTATCAGAGTTGCTATACCCAAAGAACTAGTTCCCACAAATATTTTCTCCTGATAATCTAAATTTAGAAAAAGGAAAGAATTCTCATCACTCTCATTTCCACCAGACCTGGCAGGCAGAGAACTGGGAGGCAGATATGGTAAGAATTCTTACCTTCTGCTGGGCCCTGTCAGAGATTCCAGGATCTCTCAGCTGCTGCAGCCAGTGGAGAGCTCCACATTAGGCACCAAAACTACAGGAGTGAAAAACTTTTCCCTTCTTCCCTTCTAGGTTCTTTGGCTGGCCTAATAATTAAATTGACATAAGACAGATTAACAGGAGAAAACAAATTTAATTTTGTACAGATGAGAGCCCCATAAAAAGTATGAGACTTTTTCACCTTTCAGACAAGGAAATAATAACTATGTGAAGAATTGACAAGATAAAGGGGTTTGGACTTGGGGTATTAAATTGGTGAAAAAATAACAAATTTTGTTAATACAGTTTTCTTGGCCCTAAATTCCTATCTCTAGTGATAAGAGTGTTTTCTACCCTTTGGATACAGGAAGAGTACCTATCAAATGGGAGATTTATGTCCTGCCTTCAGGGAGACAAAGGAGGATCAGTGCTCTTCTTGAATCAGCTGTCTTTTAAATAACTTTAATTCAAAATAATTAGTATGCCAAAGGGGTATTTTTTGGGAGCGGGATATTCTGCTCTCCTTCAATTCTAGTTTCTTAAATACTATACAGGATTGGCAAGGAATACACCAAAATGTTAACAGGGGTTAATGGCTTATTTTTTAGTTTTAGTTTTAGTTTTTTGGAAACAATACTCACCTGTCTTGGGCTCCATCGCCTTGGGGCCATTCTGATAAACTGTGATAATGTGGTCAAGGATGCTCAGTGCAGGGCAGTGCAGTGTTGATGCCTATGAAAGACAGTTCTTTACAACAGAGCCCTCCTGAAACCAACGCCTGAAGTGCAAGGCACAGTGAAAGGCCAGCAGTGCAGATACCCTGATGGAAGGGAAGCTTACTTTCTCTGATCACACCAAGTAAGAACAGGGGCTTTAATATTTACTTGGGTGCCAGGCTTTGTGCTAGCATTTATCACAGATGGTCTCTTTTAAATATCCAATACTCCTGGGGAGCCTGGATTGGTTAAGGGTCCACCTTTGGCTCAGGTCATGATCTCCGGGTCCTGGGATCCTGAGATGGAGCCCTGTGTCAGGCTTCCTGCTCAATGGGGAGTTTCCCTCTGCCCCCGCCCCCATGCTTTCTCTCTAATAAATAAAATCTTCTAAAAAAATAATAAATCTCCAATACTCCTATGAGTTAGTTATCAGTACTATTCTCATTTTATATATGTAGAAACAGGGATGCCTGGGTGGCTCAGCAGTTTAGCATCAGCCTTCGGCTCAGGGCATGATCTTGGGATCTGGGATAGAGTCTCACATCGGGCTCCCTGTGGGAAGCCTGTTTCTCCCTCTGCCTATGTCTCTGTCTCTCTATATATCTCTTATGAATAAATAAATAAATCTTTTAAAAAATATATGAAGAAACAGTCACAGAGTGGTTAAGTAACTTCCAATGACACAATTAACAAGAGACGGAACCAGGATGCAAATGTATATGACTCTAGAGTCCATATTGATTATGAAAGTCTCCCACCCATTTAATGGAAGACAGGGAAAAAGAAAATCCATGTGTACATCTCATCTTAGAGACACCTGAAAAATGTCCTTGGTGGAGAATTAGGCAGCATACTATCCAATGGGAAAATTCTGGATGAGGCCTATAAGGGCTGTCCAGTACTGGACCTGGCACTTACTAGCTTTGTAACTTTGGATAAGTTATAACCGCTCCAAGACTTGACTTCCTCATGTATAAAAGGGAAATAATATGATCTGACCTGTAGGTCTTTAAGGATAGCTGTGAAAAATCAAAGGAGACAAATCACATGTAATTCCTGTGAAAACTGTCAAGTGCAAGACAAGTAAAACTTTAACTCTCTTTTGGCATAGTCCCTCCAAAATGAAGATAATTAATAAATCATATTTTCCTAGATTCCTGTTGACATGTTAGGTAAGTAAAATTTACATTGATTAAAATTATGACCAAAAATTCTTTGTCACTTCCTCAAAAAGAGATGCGGCCTATTTTACCACCTTGTGGAAACTGACCTGTGACTGCTTTGACCAAGAGAGCATGTTGGAAGTGACTCTCCCAGTTTCAGGTTCAGCCTTTAAATGGACTGGCAGCTTCCACTTCGTCCCTCTGGAATCCAGCTGAGTAGCCCACCTGGAGCAGAACAAGGGCCCTGGCCAACAGCCGCACCAAGTTGTCAGTCATGGGAGACAGTTACCCAGGCAGTAGGTCCTCCAGTCCCAGTCAAGCAACCCCAGCCGGGTAACATCATGTGGAGCGAGACTAATTGCTCCCCCCCCCTCACCGTGACAAAACTGTATGCAAATGAATGATTGTTATTGTTTTAAGTGACTGGGTTTTTTTTTTTTTTTTAAGTGACTGGGTTTTAAGTTTTGAGAACATGTTACATAGCAATAAATATCTTAAGATTAACCCAATAATTTTACTTCTAGAAATTTATCCTCAGGCACTAATCAGGAATGCAGACAAAGGCTTACGTTCCTGAACATTTCTTGCAGAGTAGTTTCAGAGACCTTTAATGTCTAAATTAGGAAAATGATTATGTACATCATAGTATATCTGTTATGAAAGTCATTTAAATGTTAGCAATATAGGAGAGTAATTATGATACACTTTTAGGCGGAAAAAGTCATATACAGAACTATGCATATAAAAGGGAATAAATTAATAATGGGGTTTTTTCGGGGCAAAAGAATTATGAGTGATTTTATTCTATCTTCACATTTTTGTGATAATTGCATCATCGAAAAAAATAAATTTAAAAAATAAGAAAACTATCAACTTGCAAAATCTATCCATAGATAAAATAAATTTTAAAAAATAAAGTTCCAGGATCCCTGGGTGGCTCAGCGGTTTAGCGCCTGCCTTCAGCCCAGGGCGTGATCCTGGAGTCCCGGGATGGAGTCTTGCATCGAGTCCCACATAAAGTGCCACACCGAGTCCCACACTGGGTTCCCTGCATGGAACCTGCCTCTCTCTCTGGGTCTCTCTTGAATGAATAAATAAATACAATCTTTATTAAAATAAATAAAGTTCCATTTACTACAGTTTCAAAGTTTTTCATGACAATTTTATTAAGGTATTTGGCAATATTGATGTTGAATCATCTGCTATTTCTCATAATTGACAAGCCAATAGGCAGTTACATTGTAATTTTATAAAAGTCAGCAGGAAATAGTCCTATTGGCAAAGAGACTATTAGCTGTGGGGTCCTATTAGCTTTGATAATCCATAAACTAGATGTAAAAAATCTTGAATAGTTAAGCAGCTCTAATGATGTGACACGAAAGTAAAATAATGAAGGAAAAGCTTCCCCAAAAATCAGACTAACATCACGAAAAGTCTGTTACCAGCCAGGAGCTTTTTCACGGCCGCGTCACTTGATCCTGTCAACAGCCTTGTGTGGTCAGGTACTAGTCCCATTTTACAGAAGAGAATCCTGGGGCTTGGCCAAAGTTCTCGCAGCTGCAACTGCGCAGTTTGCAGTTGGGAGTCAGGCCCAGAGCGTATGTCCTTCCCATAGCACCACACCACTCCACAAAGGTCAGGGTTCGACAATTTTATGAGATGAAACAAAAATCTACCAAGCATGCAAGGCTGTTTGAAAAAGACTTTCTTTTATTCTAACACAATGAATGAAATATTTATTTGGACTTTTTAAGCCTCTTTAGTGGGATCACTTTCTTCTTGCAGAACTTGAAGCAATCCTAAAACAGTCAAAGGCAATTTTGTGAGAAGCTGGGACTTTTCTTGAGCAATTGAAAGGGGTTTGGGGGGAGGAAGACCAGTTTACAAAGCAGAAGTACTTACAACACAGCTCCTGTCCTCCTTGTCCTCTCTCCTGTGGAATCTCTTCAAAGCCCTATCTTTAGCATGGCTGAGGCTTTTAGTAAGCTGGAACCTGACCATGCTTGTTGATTTTATTTGCTATTCATATTTATTTTATTTAGTTTCCAATAGGCCATATTTGGGATTTGATTTTGGGATCAAAGATGTGAGGAATCACTACCACAGAGGCGCCCCACAGGGCATTTGACATGATAAAATGGAGACAAATGTCAACCAAGCCCAGTGCTTTTTTTTTTTTTTTTTTTAAGGAGAGAACAAGGGAGCAGAGGGGTGGCAGGGAAGGGCAAGGGAGACGGAGAGAGAATCTTAGGCAGGCTCCACACTCACTCAGTGTGGAGCCTGACACGGGGCTTCCTCTCACGATCCTGAGATTAGACCTCACCTGAAATCAAGAGTTGGATGCTTAATTGACTGAGCCACCCAGGCATCCCTGGTTTTCTGTTTTTTAAGGAAGAGTAAGTAATAGTAACAACAGCTAAGATTTCCGTGGTATTTATATACATCAGCTCTATACCATGCACTTTATGTGTGAACATTATCCTATTTAATCCTGACAATTCTAAGATGTACACACTAATTTTGATCTTTGTTTTACAGATGAAGATGCACAGGACAGGTGGTGGTCAAGGTATGAATGGTCTGATCTCAGTCCCTGCTTCTAACTGCCGCATAGACTGCGTCAGTCAGGGCTGGGGTTTCAGAGAGAACCCTGTTTCCTTCTTCTTCCATCAGCTCCAGAAGGAACCCTGACTATGAGCAATGGGAGAAAGACCATGGCTGGGAGATGGAGAAATGAGAATCCCAGTTGTGCAAGTCCAGGCTGGATGTTGGCTTTTCCCGTAGCCAGGGCTGCTTGCTTCCCAGTAGCAAAGTGCTAAGTACCTTGAGCCTTCTTCTAAAATGTATTTCTATGGGACACCCGGGTGGCTCATCTGCCTTAGGCTCAGGGCGTGGTCCTGGCTCCAGGGATCAAGTCCTCCATCAGGCTCCCTCCGAGGAGCCTGCTTCTCCCTCTGCCTGTGTCTCTGCCTCTGTGTATGTGTATGTGTATGTGTGTATGTGTGTGTGGCTCTCAGGAATAAATAAAATCTAAATAAAATAAAAAATAAAATGTATTTCTATTTATTCACCTTTCCCCTCTATCTAGGAGATAAGGGAGTCCATAATGATAGACAAAATATAACATGAAGCAAGAAAAATGAGTGGACCTCTACATATTCAATGGCCAATATAAAATCATGACCAGCAATTGTCACAGATCACAGTGTTCATTAGATTAAAAATAACCAGCAACTCAAGGCCAGCACAACTATTGCCAATATTAAGCTCAGGAAAATATCTTCTCCTGAAAGCAAAGTGGCACAGTGCAATGTGATGAGCAGCGTCCTCACATCTGCAAAGGATTGTATATTACGCAGCAGAACAGTGTGGTTGAGCACACAGATTCTAGAAGCAGACTACTTGGGTTCTACCACTTTCCAGCTGGGTAACGTTGGGCAAGTTTTCTGTCTGTGCCTCAGTTTCTTCATTTAGAAATGTAGACTGGGAAAAACATGGAGGATTAAATGAGATCACGGACTCAAAGCCTTTAAAGCAGTGCCCAGCAGGTAAAGTGCCTGTGTGCACTAATGCTACCATCAGCCTGGTTTGAAACACAGCAGATACTTCCCACCGTCGCACCCCTGTACCCACTGCTTCCTCTGCCTGGCACACTCTTCCCACCATCACACATGTGGCTCACTCCAATCCTTCTTCAAGCTTTTGCTCTTCATATCACTTTCTCAGTGAGTTTCCAAACAACCATATTTAAAATAAACTGAGCTGCTTTCCCTACTTGTCTCCTAGAAACTAGCAGCCTAGATCTGCTCTAACTCATTTATCTCCTTCTCATGCTCAAATAACCAATCACATTATTTCCTTTGTATTTTGTCTATCTTCCTCCCCTAAATGAAGGCAGGTTTCTGTTCAATGCACTGCTCTATTCCCAAGACCTAGAATAGAGCATGACATGTAAACTCTCAATAAACATGTGTTGAACGAATCAATGAACAAATTTAAAACTGTATAGTCAATTATAAGGGTCCCTTTGAAACACCCTACAAGGGTAAATCAGCCAAAAAGTGAACCTGTAAGCTGTCTGGACTTTTCAATGATCTGGTAATAATTTGAGAAAGACTTCAAAAGTCTTATGAAATTTTTTGGTAACAACGGTAATAGCACTGAGATTTTAGGTGACATGTCCTACTTTATATGCTTAGATGAGTTCAGAATTAGCGATTAAGAGTCACTTTCAGCAGGGGCACAGCTAGATGCAATAGTCAAACTGCAGAGTAAAAATTAAGCATTATTACTGGGATGTGATCCACACCATCACTCTTCGGTCCTTAATGGAGCCAGTCGAAATAAATCATAGATTTTATTATCCAGTTCTCTCCTGACAGCAAAGCAAGGACAGGAAAGCCAGTTATTAATGAGAGCATCTTATTTTATGCATCAAAGGAACTCAAAATTCTATGCTTCCTAACACAAAGGCAAGTGTTAAATGTGCAGAACTTGGGGAGAGACACCAGGACACGTAATGCTCTTGCTTAGGACTAACAGTTACGTGCCTACACAGGCCTCCGTGGTGAGCAGCCATCTTTGCAATCAGTAAAAGGCAATCTAGCAGAACAGAAAACATGCCACAAAGAAAATAACAGAAGTCAACAGATCAACGAGGTGAGTCAAGGTCCAGGTGGAGCTGGGAAACTCTCCCAGTCCCAAAGGCAGACTGACCCCTCGTCATCCACTTGCGGTGATCCACCAAACTCAAAGCAGTTGCCATTTCTGTACGCCACTTTTTAGCCAAACAAAAAGGTTTGGGGAGGTTTTGGCTTTCCCGTGGCTGAAATATGAGAGTTAAGAGTATCTCCATGATAAACGAGATTTCCTTTTAAAGTATTCAGATAAAGAAAGTTGAACTGACAAGGCTGCATTCTGAGCATTCTGAGGTTGTCCTTATCTTCATTCATGTAATTATGGCCTGAGCACAGACCACACCAAGGTTCCTGACATGAGAGAGAACTGTGTGAGTTGATGGCTGTGAACAAGCCTATGCTTCAAAGCCTATAAAGGCATCGCATGCCCGTAGCTCACACCAGCCCAACCTGTTTCCACTTGGGCCTCGACTAGATCTAGTGTTCTGATCTTTAATTAAATTCAACCTCATCTTACTCTATTCTTTTATTTCCCCCCAAGTGTGATTCTTTTCTCACAGCTAAGCTGTTCCTTAAGGAACAGGACTACATTTTACAATTCTCTTGCACCCAAAAAAATGGGCACTACTGAATTAACATATAACATTGTGTAAGTTTAAGGTATACAACATGTTGATTTGATGCACCTATATACTGTGATTACTACAGTAGCATTAGTTAACACCTCCATCACTTTTATCTTTTTTTAAAAAAAATATTCAGTTTCATTGACTTTCTCTATTGTTTTTCTAGTCTCTATTTATTTCCCTCTGTTGTTATTTCCTCCCTTTTGCTAACTTTGGGCTTTGGTTTGTTCTTTTTGTAGTTGCTTGAAGTATAATATTAGATAAATATTTTTCCTTAATGTAGGTCTTTATTGTGATAAACTTCCCTCTTAGAAATGCTTTTACCACATCCCAAAGGTTTTGGTTTATTTCCATTTTTGTTTGTTTATTTCTTTTTTATTTTGCTTCTGATTTCTTTCATCCATTGGTTGTCCACAGACATGTTAATTTCCACATATCTGTTAATTTTCCATATTTCCTCCTGTTGTTATTGATTTCTAGTTTCATACCACTGTAGTCAGGAAAGATACTTAAGATTTCAATATTCTTAAGTTTGCTAAGATTTGCTTAGTGACTTATCATATGATCTATCCTGGAGAATGTTTCATGTGCACTTGACAAGAATGTATATCGTGTTTCTGTTGGGTGAAACATTCTGTATATGTCTGTTGGATCCGTTTGGTTTAAAGTATAGTTCAAGTTCAGTTTCCTTACTGATTTTCTCTCTGTATCCATTGTTGGAGGTGGCAAACTTAAGTCCCCTACTATTATTATATCATTGTCTATTTCTCTCTTCAGATCTGTATTTGCTTAATATATTTAGGTGCTCCAATGATGAGGGTACACAGAATTGTAATATGTTGATGAACTGACCCCTTTATAATTATATAATGGCCTTTTGTTTCTTGTTACCATTTTTGGCTTAAAGTCTATTTTGTCTGATGTAAGTACAGCTGTTCCTGTTCTTTTTTGGTTTCCACCTTCATTAAATAGTTTTTTCTATCTCTTCACTTTAAGCCTATGTGTGTCCTTAAAGCTGATGTCTCTTATAGGCAGCATATAGTTGGGTCTTGTCTTTTTATCCACTCAGCCTCTCTCTGTCTTTTGATTGATGAATTCAATTCATTTACATTTAGACTAATTATTGGTAGGTAAGAACTTACTAATGCCATCTTGTTTATTGCTTTTTGGTTGTTTTATAGTTCCATTGTTCTTTTTTTCCTTTCTTTTCTCCTACCTCTGTGCATTATTTTTCTATGGTACTATGCTGATTCCCCTCTTTTTATCTTTTGTGAATCAACTATAGGTTTTTGCTTTGTGGTTACCATGAGGCTTACATAAAATATCTTGTAACTACAACAGTCTATTTTAAGCTGATAGCAACTTAACTTCAATTGCATACAAAAAAATCGACCCCTTTACCCCTCCCCTTTTGTTTTTGATGTTATAATTTACCTTTTTTTTTTTAAGATTTTATTTATTTATTCATGAGAGACAGAGAGGCAGAGACATAGGCAGAGGGAGAAGCAGGCTCTCTGTGGGGAGCCTGATGCAGAATGCCATCCCAGGACCCCGGGATCAGGACCTGAGCCAAAGGCAGAGACTCAACCACTGAGCCATTCAGGTGCCCATATAATTTACCTTTTTATATTGTGTCTTCACTAACAAATTACAGTAGTCATAGTTATTTTTAGTTCTCTTGTCCTTTGATCTTATACTAAAGAGGTTAATACAACCACCATTCTACAGTATTAAGAGTAATCTGAATTTGACTATATACTTAGCTTTACCAGTATGTTGTCTACCTACATCTTACTAATTAGCATCCTTTTGCTTCAGCTGGAAGAACTTTCAGCAGTTCTTGTAAGGCAGGTCTAGTGGTGATGAACTCCTTCAGCTTTTGTTTGTCTGTTAAAGTCTCTATAGCTTCTCCTTTTCTGAAGGGTAACTTGCCAGATACAGTATTCTTGATGGTCAGGTTTTCTTCTTTCAGCACTTTGAATATATTATCCCACTCACTCCTGGCCTATAAGGTTTATGTTGAGAAATACACTCATGGTGGGGGACGAGGCATGCAGAGCACTGGGGGTGCCTATGGACCAAATGACGGGATTCACTATCATCCACATCCCTTTAATGCCCTTCAAGAGTTCAATTTGCTGTCCTCTCAGCATTTTCTTGTTTCCTCCCCCCCCCCCCCCCCCCCCCGGTCATGGAGTTCATGACTCACCAGTCTGGATAGGGTGAGAGAGAAATGAGCCTCTTTGGCAGGGTCCCACACCGCTGGGGAAACCGGATGCTCACTCACAACACTCCTTTTCTTCCAAAGGAAAGATCACAGGCCAAGAAGATCTTGGCCTTAAGTTGTGTTGCCTTGGGTTAAGAGTGATACAGGTACAGCCAAACCGTTTCTCTTACCCCTGCCAATGCATCCAAACGCATACATAGATTTTTTTGTTTGTTTGTTTCAGTGGCATATTAGAACTTTTCCACTGGAAACTTTGGTTCTTTTGTTTGTGGGTGATTGTCAAAGACAGTGTTTTCCAGGGGCTTCTGGACTGCAGCCAGAGGGACTAGAACCAGTTCACAGGCCACTGCAGAGTCCACAGCTGGGACCAACATCCATATGGCCTATTACCTGTGCATGGATGGGCAAGACTCTTCCCAGATCCTGTGGCATACTGTACTGGATCCCAAAGCTCCTAGAAAGGCACTCTGATGGAGGCTAAATTGTTACTGGGAAAGAGACACAAATAAGGGGCATCTTATTCAGTCAGAAAGCTGACATCATTCCCCAAACAGAGCAGCCCCTCTCAGCAAGCTGACCAAATTCAAGAACAGAAAACTTTAGACATCCCAGCTTTCTTTACCACAAAACCCTTGGATCCATCAACCACCTAACTCCTAACCTCTAGCTCTATTTCTTCAACTTTCAGCTTCATCTCTGCCCAGCTTTGCTTCTAAACTTTGAACTTTGTCCTGTTTTCTATCCTATGCTTACTCTTTGGGTTTGAAATGGACTTGGCCTCTCTGATTTGATCCCCTCCTTATTCCCTGGCTCCATTCATCCTGCAGGACCTAGGCTTCCAGGACCCAACATGTCATTTTCCACTGCTATTAAGCTCATCTAGAGTTCCCCTTGGGGACAGCTGGCAACAACAGACAATGGTTGGACATGCTACAATTATCATAAACACAGTCAGGTGGGGAAGGTACAATTCTGCTTGCTGCTTGCTACTCCTACCACCAGCATCAGCAGCACCTTTCCACATCCTGGATGAGTGAGAAGAACAGTATGGTTGAGCTCACCACCATCAGGGGCAATAAGGCATGTCCCCTATGTGTCTTACTCATAATTGCTTTTTCAGCACATACCAGTGTCTAACATGTTAGTAGGTTCTTGATAAATTTGTGGAAATAATTAATCAATAAAAAAGTGATACTATCTTTGATCTCCATCTCATTGTCCTTTAAAATAATTTAATAAACATGTACATTCCAATCAGGATGTGGGCCCTGCAAATATACATATAGATCAAATGAGTTACATGCAGTTCTTCCCCTCAGGAAGTTTACAGGCTCCCTTTAAGCACAAAGCCAGACACATTTTAGATACTGTGTGTGAAGAATTTCACTAGAGGTGTATGATAAAGTACTATGGGCACACAGATGGCACTGTACGGTACAGTATGTATGTATATGTTTGTATAGTATTTTATTCTATTCAAATGGGAGCCTGCAGGGGAAAAAAAGTGACATTTGAGTTGGGCCTTGAAATATGAAGCAGTGTTTCAAAGAAACTTATAATGATGGGGATGAAAGTGACCACGTTAGGATAGCCCCAGCCTGACAGCAGAGTGAGGTTCAGGGATGCTAGCATCCCTCTAGCCGACAGAGCTAATTGCTGACAGCAGTCTCTATCACAGAGAGTCCAGGACACACTTGAGATGTTCTAGGAGAACTGTGGGGAGCACAAGGTTTATGACAACTGCAACTCCCCCCCCATCCCCCCAAGGCTGACTAATGATCCATGCAGCTCAGCCTGGAAAATGACTCAGGACACTGATCAGTTCTAAGGCTCTCTCAGTGGTTCTGAGATACTCTAAACAGGCCATGGGGATCTAAGTCAGATGAGGACAAGTCTGGTTCCTCAGAGAGGGCCTGGAACCAACTCAGCCTCCAGAACATGGCTAGCTCTCTGTGTTCACTCCAGAAAAAGGATCTCCTGTAGTAATTCCTCAGCTCTTGAGACCACCAGAAAATAGCTTCCCTGGAGACCCAAGTTGGTCTGTACATATTGATGTAGACATAAACTAGGGGATACCCTCTTACCTGTAGCACTTATACAATAGATAGGATATAGGCTGCAACCCAGATACTGATGCCCATATGGGAAGAAAAAGTCCACGACCAGTAAGAATGTGATGGGGGTATATTAAAGCCAGAAGTTTCTCTCGTTTGACTAGTTAGAAAATAGCAAGCCCACCAAGCAAGAAGCTAGTTATATGTAATTAAAGAGGAAGTGAGACCCCAAGCAGCACTGAATACAGGTGACCTGGAGGCCCTAGGAAAGCACCCAGGCTATGAATCAGGATTATTTGTATCTCTGCCCAACCTTCATCAGGGCTCTAGAGGCAGCACAGTTACTTACTGTTTGCCTATGGATAAATGTTTCTGTTAGTAAGTATTGTCTACTTAAAAAGATAAAAATCTTTAAAAAGGGGGGAGGGGCCTACCTGACTCGGTCAGTAGGGTGTGCAACTCTCGATCTTGGGGCTGTGAGTGGAGCCCCACATTGAGTGTAGAGGTTACTCAAAAAAAAAATAAAATTTTTAAAATACATAAATAAATATTATCAATAGTATTATCATAACTGAGGAAAGATTCAATTTGCAAAGGAGAAACGAGCCTCATTTAAATTATCTTTATTATGAACTAGAATTAATGAGTAACAACAGCCTCTTTAAAAGTACCTAAGTTTTGGGGATCTCTGGGTGGCGCAGCAGTTTGGCGCCTGCCTTTGGCCCAGGGCACGATCCTGGAGACCCGGGATCGAATCCCACGTCGGGCTCCCGGTGCATGGAGCCTGCTTCTCCCTCTGCCTGTGTCTCTGCCTCTCTCTCTCTCTCTCTCTCTCTGTGACTATCATAAATAAAAAAATTTAAAAAAAAAGTACCTTAAGTTTCAGTTTTCAAGACAATTTCCCATTCATCATTGTATATGATGCTCATTAGCCCTGGTAAGGAGGTGGGGCAGGTAAGACACTAACAAGCTACCTGGACTTGCCACTGTTTCACAATCAAGAGTCAAGCCCAAGAATTCCCAATTCTGTGGTTTCTTAACCCTCGCTGTGTGGCCACTGAGAAAACCACCGTGATCCACTCATTTTATTTAGCCATTTCCCGATTTCATCTGTCAGGTGCTTTCCATGTGAGTTTCTTTGGTGACAAATCCCTAGGCTTAGCATTCCAAAGCACCTAACTTCCTAATATCTACTATATACTTTATGAAAATGTTTCGTGGTAGTGTTTGAAACAAATAATACTCATCTTTCTTCTGTGTGTTCCCTTTTGTATGTAGTAAGAAGAATGTAGAACAAACGATCTTCATCTCAGGCTTGTCTGAAATCACAATTTGGATAAGCGTACATTAAGGGTAGGTAAGACATGCTTGTTAGGGAGTTTTGAGGAATAATGCATCACAATTCAGACTTTTAAAAAATTCCATATATTGCCTTATTTTAAAATCTGAATTCAGGAATTAGGAAGGATGCCAGTGAAGTCTTTAACTGTTTACCATTGTATGGAAAGTGCCCAGTGCCCAACCCTGAGTAAGCAAGGCTCTCGGTGCATGCCCCATTGTCTCTAGTGTTTTTTTGGCTGGTCCCACCCACTGCACCTGACTCACCAGCATGTTCAGCATCATCTCCAAGACAGGATATGTGCCCCCTTACCCACCTGGCGTTCCATTTGCAGCTCTGTCTTGTCCAAATTCCAGCTCTGGTCTCTGTAATCACTTAGCATTATGCTGAAAAGAAGCATTGGCCCACATGTTGGAAGCGTAATACATTTACACCAAAATCACAGAGGGAAAAACGGAAACCCCAGCAAAACAGCTTAATGAAACTTGGCACAGCAAGCATCAAATAAAAATGTCCTGCTCTTTTTAAATCTGTTTTCCAGGGACCTTGCTGCTGCTATTATTTGGAGGGCAGCAATAGCAAGGCAAAGAAGAGCAGAGGAATGGAATAGGGAAGGAAAGAAAGAAGTTAGCTGGCCAAGGAGGTTCTAGTCTTGCTCCATTAGTCTTGCTCAAAACTACTAAGTCTCATCTGTCACTTAGTTTACTACATTAGTCTTTTAGGAATATTTGACAGTTGAACCCAAAGAAAACTCAAAAGGTTTAATATATTAATAGAATTTAAGAGACTGTGACACTTAAATAAAGAAACTTGGAGGTAGGAAGTTCCTTGTAAGACCTCTTATACCATGACACTCTTTTTAGACTTAAAAACAAAGCTCAGGGATCCCTGGGTGGCGCAGTGGTTTGGCGCCTGCCTTTGGCCCAGGGCGCGATCCTGGAGACCCGGGATCGAATCCCACATCGGGCTCCCGGTGCATGGAGCCTGCTTCTCCCTCTGCCTGTGTCTCTGCCTCTCTCGCTCTCTCTGTATGACTATCGTAAATAAAAAAAAAAAAAAAATTTAAACAAAAAACAAAGCTCAAACTTGATTAAAAGTTTTCAATAAAAGTTTTGCAACACTCATGCTATTTATATATCTCTTTATTACATTTTTAAAAAGCAAACTTTGCCCTCAATGCGGTACTCGAACTCATGACCCCAGGATCAAGAGTGATATGCTCTACTGAGCCAGCCAGGCACCCCTTATAACACTCATCCTAAATGAAAATCACAAGACTCCACCTGTCATGTTCTGACTATACCACAGTCCAATCATCTTTGGGAATCCATGAGCTTTCCTCTGATGCCAGACAGCACAGATTCCAATGTCGATTCTGCCGACATAGCTGACAACTTGGGGTAAAGTACTGAGCCCTTTTTCACCACTTACTAGCAGTATAATCTCGAATAAGTGAGTGTGATTTAACCCGCTTTCACCTCAGTTTCCTCATCTGAATGAAGATAATATTACCCACCTCAAAGTTTTTGAAAGGTTTACATGAATTAATGTACATAAGGAACCTAGAATGATGTCTGACATGCAGTAAAAGCTGTTTGCCATTATAATTTCCTCTTAAGAACAGACATCCTCTAGGCCTGTTATCTCAACTAGTGTTGGTTATGCAAATACCAACCATAAGCCCAAGGAAGTACAGAAAATGAGAAAACAAATACAAAGCCATGCTGAATCACACAAATTCCACATTCCATCTGCTAGCTTCAACCAGTGAGCTGCGGTTTCACTTTCTCTCCTTTCCTTTGATCACCCTTTCGATCTAGAGATACAAGAAAGGTGATGAACTTGAAAGGCAAACAACAAGAGGTAGGAATCAGGAAATAAGCTGGTGGGTTTCAGACTGGACATTAGCATGCAATGTCCGCCCGTTAGCATGCAATGCCTCACCTGCCCCAGTGCTGCTCTGACACAGTTCCATCTCTTTCCTGCCTACTTCCTGGCTACAGACGCATGGAGGAATGGAGAGAAGTCTATGCTAGGATTGGCAAACTTTCAGAGCCATAAGATGTAGGAAAAAGGGCATGAATCAGCAAATCGGGCCTCTTATCTGTGGCTTGTCACACACCTCTTTGAGTGTCCTAGGGTGAGTCACCTGAATTCTGTTCTATTTCATCTACAGAATGAGAACACCTATGCTATGTACCTCATAAAATGTGGAATTAAGTTGAAATAAGGCATGTAAAAGCATTTTGAGAAATACAAAGTACTATAGAAAGTTTCATTAGTGACAGGATTTGCATTAGTATAGCTTTTTCCCTACTGTTAACAGATGTTATACACAAAAAAGGTTCTATTATCAAATTAACTTACCAGATGATGGGTTAAGAAAATTTTCCAGATTTCTCTACTTAGGATAGTGACCCCTCAACCCTATTAGATCCAAAGTGCCTTTGTTGTAAACAAATTAACTCCGTAGCATCTCCCTTCCTACCCTGAAACAAAATTCACAGACACAGCCTATATAAACAATTTCCAAAATTTCCACCACCAACAAAATACTTATTTTAATACACAAATGCTTGGGAATAACTAAACCAAAAGGCATAAGTAGTCAGACACTTGTATGAAGAATCATGGTGAATATGACAGCTCAAACAAGGCTACAAAGTTCCGCTATATCACTGACTTAAATACAACCAGTGGGGTTTGCTCAAGTGTGCTTTTCTGAAATAGTAAATAATTCTTGGGAAAGCTCCAAACAAAATACAATGTTCCCTTGATTTGCATGGTCACTGTACTAAGACATTCAGTGTCCATTATAAAATCACAACTACTTTGTATTTATGTGTAAAACAGAGTTGGGTCCTAAGCTTAATTATAAACAGATTTTTCATCTATATGACCATAATGACAAGGGTAAGTCCTTGAGGACCAGAGATAACTCTTGCTTTATGTGGGACTCTCGGTGCACTATAAGCTAGCTAGTGTCCATAACCTCTAGGCCAATCAGTATGACAATAAAACACTCCCACAAGTTTATAATTTAGAAAACATTCCCTAGGGGACAGTACCACTCCACTGAGAATCACTGATATAAGGCTTTGTTCAAAGAGTCTTTAACATGACAATGTGACCTAGAAGAGGAAAACATTAGAACACTTTACAACAGGACACTTTTCTCTCCCAAGTAGCTTCTAAGAAGACTATCGTTTCACTAATCACACTTTGGGAAATACTGATATTATTATTTTTTTAAAGATTTAATTTTAAAAAAGCATATTAAGTAACCCGCCATAAGTGAACAGCAATAAGAAGGTTCTGGAGATATGTTTTCCTGGGAAGTCTGATGCTTGGCTATGATTTGGGAAACAAAGACAGAAGGAAACACAAAATTAAATGTCCTTATAACATGCACGCCATTGACAAATACTTGAGGCAGGCAGTGTAACCTTCCTCCAGGAAGCTTAGTATTCTTGCCTTGCTGGAAGGTAAAAACATTGGTTTGGCTATAACAAGGCCTCCGGTATCCTAAGAGTCTTCTTTAGCATATGAAGAACGTTTTGACACTTCCCTTATCTTTACTCCACCCCCCAGCCCCAAAGTATATAATCGGTTGCCCCTCACAATTCCAGAGCAGTAGGGAGCAGCAGGCAGCAGCAGCAGTTCTTTCTGCCCACAGGTCCTGTCTCTGTGGCTTTAATACAACTACCATTTTGCTGAAGCAGGTCTCAAGAATTTTTTTGGCCATTGGCTCCAGACCCCAAAGAACCTCACATATATTCAAAAACTGCATCAGCTGGACCTCTCCATGTGTGTTACCAACTGGGGTCCTCGGGCTCTCCGAGCAATTGAACTTGGGGCCAAGCAGGAATTTCAGGGAAGACTTTTACTGGGGTTTATGCTCAAGCATGATGAAGAGGGTTCTTCAGTTGACTCCCCAAACAAAGGCTGGGGAAAGTTTTTAATGAGGCTACGCCAGGAAAAGGAGTGCAGGCTAAACATGCAGGGGCAAGGAGAGATCCAAAAGTTGGATGCACAGGTGCAGTGGACAGCACAGGCTTCCTCATGCATCTCATGTCTCATTAGCATGTTAAATCTCCACTCCTGGGCATGATTTTAAGTATTATAATGAGGGAAAAAGTTGGTGAAAGATCAGCACTGGGGTCCAACTTGGCATAGACTGGCTTGGTCTGCACCAGTCTCCTACTGCTTCCACATTCCTACAAGTTATGCTACTAAAAGGGGAGTAGTGTTTCTGCTACCTAGGAACCCCGGTTTTGCAGTCAAAATTGAGGAGACCGGACTCCACTCCCTGCTCTATCTCAAATGTGTCAATAATACAGAAAAAAATATCATCTCTCCAAACGCATGCAAGAAGTTCATGGAAACTTTTGTCGGACACTCAGACATCACACACACGGCCTGAATTTTATTAGTACCATTTAGAAGAAATGGTAAGAAAGTTTGATATTTGGAGTCCAGGCTATTGCTTGGAAATAACTTTTATGGTCCTTGAACATATTAACACATACATTTATTTTTCAAGGCTTATACATTTCTCTTATGTTCATTTCCCAAAGTTAAATGGGATTTCTAGACCAGTCCAGTGAATGAGGCAGATAATAACTATTTTTTCATTATCAATTCAACAGACAAAATTAAAATATTTATTTCCATGGTTTCTCCAAACCTGCAGATTTTATAAGCATTGAAAGATATGTTTAAATTGTCTTCATTGCGTTTTTTAAAATTTCCTTTGAATTTTTATTTATTTATGATAGCCACACAGAGAGAGAGAGGCAGAGGCACAGGCAGAGGGAGAAGCAGGCTCCGTGCACCGGGAGCCCGACGTGGGATTCGATCCCGGGTCTCCAGGATCACGCCCTGGGCCAAAGGCAGGCGCCAAACCGCTGCGCCACCCAGGGATCCCGATGTTAATTCCTTTGAATTTTTAGATTTAAATTGTTAACATACAGTATATATTAGTTTCAGAGGCAGAGGTCAGTGATTCAGTCTGATATCTATATTAGTGTTCCTTAAATCATGTGCCCTCCTTAATGCCCATCACCCAGTCACCTCATGTCTTCACCCCCTCCCCTCCAGCGACCCTGTTTGTTTCCTATGATTAAGAGTATCTTCTGGTTTGCCTCCCTCTCTTGTTTTATAAAATCTACATTTTTAGATTTTACTTCTCCCAAATAAGGCTTTAATTCATAAGCTAATGACTACTAGAAAAATAACTGACAGTCTCACTACTCAGGGCCTGGTGAAACTAAAAATGTCCCAATCTCTACCTGAAGTGGAAGAAAGAGACTCCAATAAGTAATTACAGAACAATCAGGTGAATGCTATGAGCTGCATGACCACAGAGGAAAATACCTCACCCAACCT